ATTAGACAGTTGATCCACAACACCGCATCGGTGACCTTCTGTCTTCACATCGGCTAGTCTTCGATTTTGCCAATGGCTTTAAGTATGTACCAAGACACCAACTTACAAAGAACCAATAACTACTAAGTGTTGCTAAGGTAGAGGAACAGATCAGTGGGTCATCACCAAATCAATAGGTGACCCAACAATAACAATCAGGTATCATAGATTACTAAAAAAACTTACATAGTTAATGTAATACAGATGTTCTCTTTCACCTCTGGCTTCAATTAGACTCGTGTTTTCATTCCAATAAGAGTCTGTCTTATTTATACTTAGGGGGAGATTGTTAGATCCCATTTTGTAAAAGTATAAGTAAGAGTCTGTCTTATTTACAGATCCCGTGTTGTATTCCAAGGAAGATCAAGTCTTAAGCGTCAAAAATGTTAAGTGCTTGATGTAGAGCTTCACTCCAGACACAGAGCATCTGCATAGTACATATAAAGCTTCATTAGACTCATTTTTATTCCTATAAGAGTCTGTCTTATTTACACTCAGGGGTAGATTGTTAGACCCCATCTTGTAAAAGTGTAAGTAAGAAGTCTCTTATTGTAGTATTTAGGACTTAGTCTTTTGAACCGGGCTGGACCAAGAGCTCTCATGCAGAAGACATCAAGCGACAAAGCTCTTACTCAAGAGTTAAGTGTCTCATATACAGAGCCCGTGTTGTATTCCAAGGAAGATCAAGGCTTAAGTGCCAAAAAGGTTAAGTGCTTGATGCAGAGCTTCACTCCAGACACAAAGCTTCTGCATAGTACATGCAGAGCCGCTTAGTCTCCTTATTTTGCAAGAATTAAATGAAAGCAATATGCATTTTATAAAGAATCTATAATAACAAGAGTAAATATTAAAAGCTTATAAAATAAAATTTATAACAAAATGTAGAAGAAATTAGGTAAAGGTAAGTAATTAAAATATTAATAGAATAACAACCATGTATTATAGATTACTAAACACTTCTTTATATACAACATTCGTTGTTCTACTGCCAATAATACCATGATCATCCATAATTAATACTTTCAAATCTTGCTTGCTTTTAACTATAGATAAAGCAACATAAAACTAACCATGGGTAAAGTCCGGTTGTCTTAGAAATAAACCAACTTTTGATAATGATTGTCCTTGGCTTTTATTTATGGTCATGACAAAACATACAACAATTGGAAATTGTCTCCTTCGAAATTTGAATGGAATCATTTTGTCTGTAGGTGTCAAAGACATTATTGGAATGAATGTCCGGCTTCCAATATTGCTTCCAGATATAATTTGTGCTTCTATCACCTGATTTCCCAATGATAACACCCGTAGTCTAGTTCCATTACATAATCCAGATTTTTGATCAATATTTCTCAGTAACATGACAGGAACACCCATTTTTAGTAAAATCTTATGTTTTGGAATCCCTGATAATTTAAGACCATTTAAGACATCAAGAGAGTACAAAGTTTTATCAAACTGATCGTGAAGTTGCTCTGATTCACATCGCGTATCTGAACTTAAGTACTCCTTTTCATCTCCTAGGAACAATGATAGCAAACAATCATTTATTTCTTGAACGACTTCATGTTTCGGTGCAAGTATTTCCCTTTCTTGAAAATAAGATGAATTGTTGATGTTTTCAATAATCGAGGGATAGACAAATTGTATTAATGCAGATATGAGATCAACTGAATCGGTAATGAGAAGATCATGAGGTATCTCAATAACTGCATCACCATCATTATCATCTCCAACTTTGCCTTCTCTTAAGTCCAAAATCCAGTTTGCAAAAGCCCTTGTTTGTTCAATTTCAGAATATTCACTGTTTGCAGTTAGCCTCATATTCTTAGTTAACCTTAGGACTTTGTATTTTCCCAAATGTAAGATGAGCTTAACGACGCATTTACAATGTCTTGTCTACTTGCGTTGGGAATAACCGACATAATTTGTCTGAAATCTCCTCCAAAAACAATTACCTTGCCACCAAAAAGCATTTGTGAGTCACTAATGCATCGACTATTGAAAATATCGTTCATGCTTCTATCCAATGCTTCAAATGCATGCTTATAAACCATTGGTGCCTCATCCCATATTATCAAAGTAGTCTTTTTTTATTAACTTCACAACATCACTGTCTGGCTTTATGTGACAAAGAGAATCTTCATTGATAATGAGAGGGATTTACATGTGAGAGTGTGCCGTCCTGCCGCCGGTAAGAAGTAAAGAAGCAACACCACTGGAAGCGACGTTTAAAACAATTTATCCTTTAGATCTTATTGATGCAGCCAATGTCTTCATTGATAAAGAAGCAATCCTTTAGACTGTTTGAAATCAACATGGTTGCAAATAAGAAACGTAGATAAAAATCAGAAGCGGTTAAATTTGCTTCTTCAATGGCATCAATATATTCCTTATCATCATCTAAAAGTCCAAGAGCATATATGCATCTCTAAAAGTAATAAATATATTTCCATTTACTGTACGAATTGAGAAGCCTTTTTTCCTTCGATCTCAACGTCGCTCTTCCAATTTCCACACAAACTTTGTAGGGAATTCAACGTAAGTGAGTTCTCGTGCTTCTTGATAAATTTGATTACAATTCATCCAAGCTAAGAACATTGAGGACGCCACAGATGGTCTGTTTAGAACATTTTCAATATCATCTTCAGCACCAAATACCACTTGTTGTTGTACCGAAAGATCGAAAGGAAGTCCTAAAACAGAAGGAGTCCTGTAATGAACATCGTACCCA